AAAATATGTTCGAAAAATATCTTGATATGGAAGAACTGCTTTACACTGTCAAGGAAAAAAATTGCCAAAACTGAACGCAATTTTTAGCAACTTCAGTCGTGCACTTTATTATACTAAAATATATATTTTTTTATTCTAATTAAAATGTTTGCAATTTAGGTGAAACTTTGCAGAATTAATTTAATTTTTGTCCAAATTTGATCCAAAATCTGAGATCTGTCACATTTGTCTAAAATCTACCACATTTTTTTTCCAGATTCTACCACACAAATTTTTTTGAAGTCCGATCACTGATGTTAGCCTGTAAATTCTTCTGTATGTATATATGTACATACATATGCACATATATACGATAGTTTAAAATAATGTTGCGAATGCGGATGCGGATGCCTAAAAGCTAACATCCGCGGATGCGAATGCGGATGTCAAGTCTTCTTAAGAAATAATTTAGGTAAGTAAAAAATTTAAAACTTAGTAGTTTTTAATAATGTTTGTTTTATTTAGGACTTGAATTTAAAAATTGGAACATTTCTAGTAAAAAGTAATGCTGCTGCCTGTTCAGGTTACAGCCTGTTTCTTAAAGGGTCGTAAATCAAACCTGCGCCACTAAACATCTGTTAGCGCGAGGCGACAAATATCTGCGTGTGAAACTGGAGAATATTTTAAGTTCTTTTCGATTTACGCTGCACCAGTTGAGAAAAATTTCAGTTATATTTATTTTCTTTTATTGCAGAGCAAGAATAGTTCCTCCTTGAGAATTGCATCGCGACTGCAAATGTCGGATCTCTCCTCTTGACTTTCATCTTCACATGAAGAATCTAGCATCAAGGCAAGATCGTTTTTTAAACACCGCTTTCAACTCAAACCAGATGTATCAGGTGTTTCCAAAGCTTTTTCAAAAGAATTCTTCATTCTAATTCTTTTGGCAGTTTCAGAATTTGGAGAACCTGTAACGTCATTAGCGGTTTTAGATTTCAGTTTGTGTAACTCACTTTAAATCATTTCTTTTGCGACCAATTTGAGAACTGTGTGCTTATAGCGAGCTAAATAGTTGAATATGGCAAATAAATTGTGATATTGTAGGAATGAAAATTTTGAATAAGATTCAGTTTTTTTTTTGTTTAAAAAGGCACCACCGTTTTTGTAAGCATTAGAATTATATATTGGAATCACGAATGATGAGGGTCTCAGAGCTGCTTAGTTCCCGGGTGGCTTCTGCAAAAGGTTCACCTGTAATGAATAGCTATTAATTAGTTTCCTTATTCGCTGAGATCGACTTTTCGTAGTTGCAGGCACGGTTGCCACTTGTTAAAAAAAAAACCACCACAAAATCTGAAAAAAACCACCAAATTTGTTTTTCTTCACGTGTTTATTACAAAAAAACAAAAGTTATTGAAATACTTGTGCGTTCAATCCAGAGCTGTAAAATTTCCATTACGATTAGTAATCATGATTTTTTTTGCATTTTCCAATTTTAATGATTATTTTAATTTTCTTACATAACCCAGCCATTAATAATTAATTATAATTATCAAAAATAATCATGATTAATTGTCATTAAAAAAATTGTCAAAAATAATCAAATAACTAGAAATAATCATATAATCAAAATTAATCAAATTGTTTTTTTTTAATTATTTGATTATTTTTAATTGTTTGATTATTTTTAGTTATTTGATTGTTTTTAATCATTTTATTGTTTTTATACCCGAGCGCACTTGTGTACAAGGGTATATTAATTTTGTTCACATAACGGTTGTTTGTAACAGCCAAAACGAATCGAGATAGATATAGACAAATGTATACATAAGGATGAAAAAAGAAATCGATTAAGCCATGTCTGTCTGTCCGTCCGTCTGTCCGTCCGTCCGTGTACACGATAACTCGAGCAAAAATTGAGATATCTCAACGAAATTTGGTATGTAGATTTCCCTTAATCCAAGGTAGGTTGGTATTGAAAATGGGCGAAATCGGACTTTAACCACGCCCACTTCCCATATAACGGTAATTTCCAGAAATACGAAAACTGCGATATTTTAGTAACTAATGAAGATAATTCACTCCAAATTGATATTTATAATAAGTTTTAGACGAAAAATAAGAATATTATAAATTTTTGGAAAATGGGCGTAGCCACGCCCACTTATGGTTACATGTGTATATCTTGGTAACCGCTGCACCAATTTTTTCCAAGCTTGGCACAGTTGTTGGCCTTCGCACATCATATCAAATGGCCGAAAATTTTTAAAATCGCTCAATAACCACGCCTACTTCCCATATAACGGTAATTTTCAGAAATACGAAAACTGCGATATTTTAGTAACTACTGAAGATTATTCACTCAAAATTGAAATTTACAATAAGTTTTAGACGAAAAATAATCATATTATAAAGTTTTGGAAAATGGGCGTAGCCACGCCCACTTATGGTTACATGTGTATATCTTGGTAACCGCTGCACCAATTTCTTCCAAACTTGGCACAGTTGTTAACTTTGGTATAACATACGAAATGGCCGAAAATTTTTAAAATCCGACAATAACCACGCCCACCTCCCATATAACGGTAATTTAGAGAAATACATAATCTTCGATAAATCAGTAAATATTGAAGCTAATTTATTCAAAATTGATGCTTGCAACAATTCTTTACCAAGAAATACGTTTATGGTAATATTTTGGAAAATGGGCGTGGCACCGCCCACTTATGATCACATATATGTATATCGGTAACCGTTCTACGATTTTTACCAAACTCGGTATTTTTATTGTGCTTGCCACAGAAGCAAAACGTTGAAAATTATTGAAATCGGACTAAAATTAAGGCCGCTTTTCATATAACGGTAAATTTCAGAAATGCTTGAAACTTCAAAATTTCGAAATTTAGGGACTCTAATTTACTCAAAATTGATACACCCCGGCTTACCATCTAGTGGAAGGTTTCGGAAAGGTGAAAAAACATATATTTAATACTTGCGCCGGGTATTTAATGTTCGGCTCCGCCCGAACTTAGACTTTCTTACTTGTTAATTATTAGATTATCTCCAAATATTTGATTATTTTTAATTATATGATTATTTTTAAATATTTTTCCAAATAGATGAAGCTGTGTTTTTTTACCTGAAAACAGTATGAGGTGAACTTTTTCAAAACTTTTAAACAGATATTTTTGGTGTTATTGCATCAATAAATCCTTTTCAATGGTAGCAGGAACCGAAAAAGGCATTTTTTTCAGCGACCCCAAGACCACATAACAGACTAGGTTTGGTCACAGAAACCTTTCATCGATTTTCTTTTGTGGTCCTGTGTTATTGCGAATGTGAAAGCGAATGTTCAAATTAACGCGGAATCTCCGCGGTTGCGAATGCGAATGCGAATTATCGCAACAACCGTAGTTTAAAATTTTTGCACATTTTTCATTTTCACCATTTCCCTCCCGCTCGCATTATATGTATCTACTTTATTTTCCTACTACTCGTTCAAATATTCGTGTTTTATGGTTAGCTTTGTGGCTGTCCAGGTCGGTATAAAATTGACATGTTGATGATGTTGACGTTACCGCTCCAGCGGCTATGCATCTACTTGTACATATACATACATATTTATTCCTACACATAAATGTAATCATATTTTTCTGTGTAGGTATGCATGCTGTGAGGCACACTTCCATAGGCAATTTATCCATATATTAGTTTATGTGTACGGTGTTACGTAGATGGCTTCGTGGTTTCTTTGTTTGACGCTGTCATTAGCAGGAAAGTAATTTTCACTGCAACTGAGCGGCTGACAGTGGTAGTTATAATTCAGCCTTTGGCTTCTCAAGAGTGTGGGTTGCTAATGATAAGTCTAGTATATAGTTATATGGGGGTCGCTGTGGTGTAGTGATTAGCAGTGCGCGCTATCACTCCGTAGGACCTATGTTCGACCCTTGGTCCGGGTAACATGTCAGTTATAAAGAGTTTATTTCTGCCATAAAAAAGCTTCTAATAAAATCCATTTGCCATTCGGTGGCGGTATAAAACGATAGGTGCCACTATTTGTGTAACAACATCAAGACTCACACCAGAAATTGGAGCAGAAGCTCGGCCATAAACTTAGCAAAAAGTAAAGCACCATTCGGAGTCGGCGTAAACCTGTAGGTCCCACCCTTTGTTTAACAACATCAAGACTGACACCAGAAATTGGAGCAGAAGCTTGGCCAAACACTTAGAGCATAAAACCTAAGCAATTGCTTTTTCTTAAAATTTCACACTTGTTTTTCGATTTTTTCAAATAAATTTAAGTGAAAGGTATAAAATATTAGGTGAAAGCAATTGCTTAGCTTTTATGCATACCGCCAAATGTCTTTTGAAATTACTGCTATTTTTTATAATTTTTTAAATAACGATCAATTCCAAAATTTATTTTGAATACATTAATATATCTGATCATATTAAAAGTGCACGCGGATTTTTCGGTAAATTTCAGAAAAAAAAATTCTAAAAAATTTTGAATCAAGTACACATTGACCATTTTGCCATTTTTTGGGTAGCTTCATAATTCCATCTGTTACAAATGATGTTACCAAGATAATCCTTTATTGAAAAAGAAGGACTTTTACAGTTGAATTTTGCCTTTTATGCCCTGAGAAAAACAAGTAAAATGTACAATGAAAGGAAATATCAAATAATCCAGACTCGAAAGTCGAAGCTCGAAACAAATGAATATAAAACAAGGTTGCATTAATTCTAAAGTTACCTTAGTGGCTTAACCTGCTTCGCTGCCTAAGAGCCGACATAATTTTTGGTTTGCCTGGGTAGGGCATCCACTGCTGTTTTTTAGTGTCACATTTCGGATGGCTTCGTCCCCTCCAGGATGGACTGCTATCAGTCGACCCACAGCCGCCATTGAGTTGGAATTAAATTTGCATGCTACTTGTTTCGCCTCTGAAGAGTTGACAAATATTCCTCGCTCCGACGATGCCAAAACTTTTGGTGAACCAGCCTCACGCATTGCCTTTGCTTCAGGCGATTGCAGGAGCTTGGCTGATATCAGGTCCTGGTACGGCTAAAAGCAGGGAGCCAACTAGGAAATCGCCAGGTGTAAGGGCGAGCTTGTCCTCAGGATCGCCATGAAGTGGACGCGAATTTAGACACGCTTCAACTAATGTCGCCAAAGTCTGCATCTGGCTGTACCACATCGTCTGAGCACTAACACAGCGAACTAGATGGTGTTTGGCGGATTTAATGGCAGCCTCCCAGAGCCCGCCGTGATGCGGCGCGCTTGGGCTAATAAAATGCCACTGCGTACCCATAGCTGCTAACAATTTTTGATTGTTGTCCATGTACCAGGCCACAACATCCTCTTGTAATTGTCGATTAGCACCGATGAACGCTGTGTCATTATCACAGTATAAATCGCGACATGGTCACTGCCTTGGTTGCCATGCAAATGAAAATAGCGAGGTAAGTTTTAACCATTGTGCGAGAACGTTTGGTTCCCGTACGCAACATAAACGGACCACAATAGCCTACGCCGGAAGCAGCAAAATCTCGTGCAACATTAATGCGCTGCCTAGGTAAAGGTGCCATCTGTTGCATCAATAACGCTCCGCGATGTCGACGACAGGCGTAGCCAGGTAGGTGCAAGGCGCTCAGTTATAAAAATCAGAAAGATATTAAATTAATTATAAAGCTTAAACTTTAATTTAGTTATTTTCTTTTTTTTATTAATTGTTGCTTTGAAAAAGATATCTAAGATATCCTTGCTTGTTTCCACCTAATTTTAGGTTGAACCGGGCACCACAGCGTTCATTTGTAACAATAAGTTGCACAAAAAATTAAAAAAATTGTACTCGTTATTTATATTTGTACTGCTTTTTTTTCTATCGATAATAAAAATGTACTGCTTTCTCCGTTTCAGAATCTGGCAACCCTCGTTTGCATTTACTCCTAGCCGAACACAACGTAGTTTCACTTAGAAATCGAAATTTCAACCCTACTGCTGCTACATATTCAATATGCCTTGATGCAGATTAAAACTACTCTGAATATTACTTCTCAAATTAACTGAAATACAGTAAAAACTTATTTACTAGATTTGTGTATGGATCCTTCTATCAGGATGGTTGATTTAGTTGTTTTTCCCTCTTAATGAAATACTTTAATGGCATGAAAAACTTGGCAAATTTTTCTTAGAAATACACCACATATTCACTATACATATGTACGTAAGTATTACGACTATTTATTGTCTTCATACAAGTTCATCATTTGTATTTCCAAAAGCCTTTTCTTGCCTCAGTATACTACTGTCACATGCTAATAGACTTTTATGTTCCCGCGTTGTTGACGTTTCCTTGTTGGTTGCCATTATTAATATTTAAAGCTTTAAATTTTTATATGCTGCAGTTGTTTATAAATTTCAAACATATATACCATTCGCCATGCTCTTTGGTTTTTCATGCCGCTGTAGTTTTTATGCTTAACTACTTTTTCATTTACATTCGCTCATTAGCATCAAAAGTGTGCCTTTTTCGTAGCATTTACTATGCTTAAAAAAGAGCACACGGAAGTAGAGCTGCCATAAGCGTGGGCCTCATAAAAAATGAATTATGAGCGCATATTGGCAATTCCATGCTACTTTATTCCACCTCATCACCCAGCGGAATTTTCTATTCCTTAACTTTTTTGTTACCAGTGCTTTTGTGCTGTCCTTTGGCCAAGAAACAAATTATCACATAATACGTCAGTCACTTGACATCAGCGATGCCAACCGAGGGAGAATTCCCCGATATTGGTGGAATTTTTATTTATGGGGGGAATCGGGGAATGGCTTTAAATTTTTGGGGAATTCAATATACAAACGAGTTTTATTAGAATATTCCTATTAACAATAAAACTATAACTTGTAATAAATATCTCTTATTACGGTGTTACGGATTTAAAACATAACGTAATTGCCTCATGCAACCGTGTGTTACTTTATTAAAGAAATTGCAACCGTGGATAGGGAGGCTTTTCACTTGGGGTTTTATTTGACACTATCATTTCTCACTTCGTTTTCGGCGCCAAGCCAACGTCTGGCAAAATTTTGAGCAAACTAATAAGTAAGTAAGTATTTATTAACACATAGAGAACTTTTTCAAAATTAATGGAAAAACTGCAATTAGAAATAGGCTTGGCATAGCTACTTGGAGGCAAATTTACTTAGGGCATGTGCCAATTGATAGAAAATTACTCGGATTGGTAAATTTTTGACAACTATGAGGTGAATGGAAATTTGCGAGACGGCAGGGCTAGTGAAAAGAATCACACCTTCCAGACGATTTTGGTATGTTTTTTGTTCGAATGTATGTGTGTTTATGAAATGCACTGCTTTCTGCTCTAGAATAATTAAAGTCAGTAAGGACATTTTTTTTATTGCTGCATTTTAATTGCTCAACTTCTTTAGCATCAGAGCAACTTACAAAAATTTCCAGAAGTAAAAAGTTACGAATTGGTACTACAGATATGTTTAATTTTTACCATAGTAAAAAATTTTTTCATCATGCTGATTGCCACAGGCCCTTAAAAAGCAATTATTTAAAAATAAAACCTATTTTAATTATTGATATTTGTGGCTTTTAATAAAAATGACCATGAAGTTCCTTAAATAGCAAAAGTTATTTTGGGGGAATACCATTCAAAATAAGGGAATTTTTTTATTTGGATTTTGGGGGAATTAGCCTTAAAAGGGCTGGCATCGCTGCTTGACATACTCATTGTGCAGTCAAAAAAATGTTTTTTTTTACAATCTACTTTTAGGCGTTTGTCAACTGTGAATCGCCAATACCATCGACAAAAGTGCTTCAGGCAATATGATATGTTGAACGATAGAAAAAACAAGGCAAACAAAACAAGAACCAAAATAAAAATAACAGTAAAATAGAAGAAGGCCTTCACAATTTCTGTCCAGGCGTTGCTCATTAAATCATAATTTCATACAAGTTCCTTTGCGCCAGTTCCAAAAGACGTCACAACGAATGCCGACATACATACACACACACAAATATGAGAAACTATAGAAATGCAAATTATGCTTAAGTACAATGTAAGTAAAAACACAAAGATAACAACAACAAAAAAATGCATACTTGTATGTAAAATAGTAAATGACGCAGAGCCGAACGGAAAATCATAAAAGGCAACGACACACTGGACACAGGATACTCGAGAAGCTTTGACTGCAGGAAGTGCCACTAATAAAGATGATTTACGCAGTAAAGCTAGTAGTATGTCTGTCTATGATTATGCACACGAATCTGTTTGTGTGTATAGATGTGTGTGTGCTCTGATGTGTTTGTGCGCTAGAATATGGCAGCTTTTGTTTACCATAAGACGATGAGTGCAGAAATAGTAGTGCCTATTCCTTTGCAAAGTCAAGCTAAGAAAATACGACTGCAGTAATAACTGTTTTCTGAAAGTAACAAAGGCCCATAATGATAAAGTAACTGGCAACGTAATAGAGAGCACAGTCAATGCAAATGAGTTAGCTGTTGCAGGATGCTTTTTGATTTCCTGTCATTTGTTGGAGTAGCGCATTACTTGCTGCGTTCGCAATAAATTCAGTATGCCGAGGAAAAAATGCATCGATGTAGCCGTAGCTAAACTCATCGTTACAGCTGTAATGCTGCTCTAGTATGGGAAGCGTGATTACCCTATACGAATAAGCTCACTAGGCAAGATTAAAAAAATACAACGTAATCCTGGCGATAAGGGTAAATCGTTGTAGTCTATTAATTTGTGTTTTAAGCTCAACTAACAGTAGATTCAGGAAATTTGCTCTTTCAAAAAAAGTCCGACAAAAGCGCCATTTCTTTTTGAAGGTTTCAGTGGAAATGCAATGAGTGGTTTTAGGGGAGTAAGTGATGAGTTGGCTGCAGTCATATGACGTGCTCCTACAAGCTTCGAGTCCAGTGGGATGTAGATCCAGATCTGGTCCGTGTGTGTGCTCTCAAGGGGAGTATTCATGCCTTGCTATGTGGTGGGTTCTGGCGACAACTGCGGAAAAGTAGTAACCGTACTACAAATTGGCTAAAATTTCGTATGTATATATGTGCTCTATTATGCACTTAGGAATGTAGAAATGTGGTAAATGGTAAGAGTCTTCGCACTTCCACTCACACAGCTGTGGGAGGAAATGGTAAATGTTATCCGATTTTGTTGAAATTCAGAGAATATGCTGGAGTTAACCAAAGAAAGAACGTCAAAATATTTTAATATTATCGTCCACCAACTCTAAAATAATGGACGAAAATGTTAAAAACTTATACTTGGATCAAATTTGGTGTACCCTCGTTTTACTCCAAAACTTTCTAATTTGAAAGATGATGAGTAGTTTCTCATTATGACGCATTGCTAAACACATTTATTTTATTTTTAAAGTGTTTCTTAGTTCTTCCTTTTTTAAAATGACAAAACGAAAACATTTACATACAATACCTGCATTAGGGCGGAGTAATTTGTTCGGAGCAAAATTTTCGAAGAAAGTGAATAGCAAATTCGAATTCTGCGATTAATTCTAAGCAAAAATTCTCAGCAGAAATGACGATTGACCCTCCCAAATTTCAAAAGAAATAGCAGTATAGCAGCAGAAAATACAAAATTTTGTAAATGAAAAATTAATTTCGCTCGGAAAAAATTATAATACACTGATTTTTGTTAAAAATTGGGATGGCCATTTTCGGTATATAGTTCGTTCACAATTTTTGCTTAGAATCGAGCGTAGAATTCGAATGGGCCACATACTTCTTTCGAAATTTAATTACTCCGCCCTAACCTGCACACTAAGTTATGTGAATTGTATGCGCTCGCAATTGAACCTTAAAATCTGCCTATATTTAAAACAAAAACAAAGCTGAGCTCAGACGAGCAGGACTTTTGTCGTTTTGACAAAAAATACTAATTCAGGGTTAAAATCATGTCTTCATTGCGTAGAAGTTTTCTTAATTAGTCAAATGTACTTAGTTGCATTTGTGGTAAATATACAGGCAAAAAGTTCCGAAAGCCTACATATGAATAGTATATCGGATTTTATAAAATGTGCTTATTAATTAAAAGCTGTATGTAATTAAAACTTGCAATCAATTTTTAACCAACTTCCCTATGAACTACAGCCTTTCAACAAAACTAGCTCAGAACCCGATGACAATGCACTATCGTAGAGGAATAAATCCGCTAGGTAGAACAGGATTCGAGATATTTGGAAAACCCTTATTTATAGACCGATTTGTTTGATATTTGAAACGAATATTACTAAAATAGAAATAAATAGATTATTACAAAACTAATAAAGTATAAAATT